CCCCAAAACCCCAAAACCCCAAAACCCCAAAACCCCTTCAAATAATGAAGTGATTGAAAATATTTATGCTAACCGAGCTTACCCGATAAATGAATTTCTACCGAAGAAATCTACAATAGAAAGTACTTGATCTATCAATCAGGATTCTACCAAAAAAAAGGAGGTTTAAGCCCATTCAAGGTAAAGAAAATTTTGAAAAGAAAGTCGATAAAAGAATTACGAGATTATTCACCTCTCTCTTCTTTCATCTTTACGGATTCTAGATACTGTTCAACTGAGTTTAGCCTATCTACTGCCCAATCTTTCAATTTTGCAGTGTCTTGCCATCTGCAGGCATCATTCGAGCTGTTGAGGGTGATCACGATAAGATTCAAGCAATCTGTTTCGAAGTTAGCAGTCTATATTGGGAATAGTAATATTTCACAAAGTAACAATCCCTTAATCCAGGTGAAATGTGCTAATATCTTTAAAAATCAAGCTACTTAAAATGTTAATGGCTAAGTTTCACTAGCTGATATGTCCAATTCAGTAAGCTGTACTTAAAATGAGATTCATAAATCTTAAGTGAGAATAAAATAGATGAACACATCTTTATTAGTTTGAAGTCAAGATTTCATAATGCTTAGTATAGACATAAAGTTGTTATGTTTCTATAAACTTACCAAACAAGCTCCTGCAGAACGGGTTGTTCCAGTCTTAAGGCCATTATAACTAGGATCTTTATTGATCATCTTATTCGTATTAGACCATTTATGACTCCTAGATAGACCCTTAGAATTAGTTCCTTCGCACATGAACTTTTTCTTCTTCACAATATGTCTGATCAAGCTGATCTTCATTGCTTGTGAAGAAATTATATCCCAATATCAGAAATTGTGGAGCTGTTACCGAGAACTCACATACCGTGAGGATTAGAGTATGATGTATTATGCATCTCCAGTAAAGTTGCAGTTTTGTTCATTTCCTCAACAAACAGTTTAACCAAGTTCCTTGATTTAGGAGTTTTCTTTGTATCTATACCAGAATTTCCATATATCATCTTATTAAATTCCCATTCTCCTTTAGAGTTTTGTTTGGCAAGCCGAGGATTGCGTGAGTTTACTGCCTGCTTCTCCCGATCTTCCTTAATGATCTCAGCGAAATGCTCTGCAAGAGCAGTTGCTGCATCGTTACCACTAGGGAGCATGACTCCGTGTAAGAGATCATAAACGCATAAGATATCTCCTTCCCTAAGCCTAGCAGAGGTTCCATTGATACCACTAGCATATTTAGAAACGGTAACCATCTCCTTCTTAGGATTTATTTTGAATCTCTTCATTATTCTATACACTAGGTAGGATGTCATGACCTTAGTTATACTAGCCATTTCACGTGGAACGTGTTCATTTCTGCCAAATAGGAGGGAGCCATCATCTCCATCAAGAACTCCCCAACATTTAGCAGTAACATAAGGAGGAGGAATACTAACAATTAAGTCTTGTAGTGACTCTTCCATTTTTATCCTAATTAAATATTATTTACCTTCCAATTTGAATGTTTCCTTTTGGGGTTTTGGGGTTTTGGGGTTTTGGGGTTTTGGGG